GGGCGGTGGGGGGGTTGGTGGGGGGGTGGGGGGGGGGGGGGGTCTTGATTCGTTGTGGGGCGAATGGTGCGAATGGGGTGAGTGATGGGGAACGATTGTGGGTGGTGGTGATGGTGGTGGTGATGGTGGTTGTGGTGGTCTCGGCGGTGGTTAATAGGGACGGGGGGAGGTGCGACGGTGGTTGGAATACGGTTAATGCGCGCGAGTGAGTTTAGCGTTGCACGTTGTGCGATTTGCCCTGGCCGTGAAAGCAAGCTACACTTACCCATCTCTAGCGTTGCAAGCGAGCCTATCCGCTTATTCGCCCTTGCAATGGTAATGGCCCAGATGACATTAGGCCCCGTGCACTTCCTCGCCGGGGTAAGGTGCGAGCGAGCAGCGAGCAGAAGGCAAAATGGAAAGGAGGGCAGGAAAGAGGCATCGGGCGACCGAGCTTAAGAGCGCAAGGCAAGTGCATGGCCACCGCGCGAATCGGTCGCACACGCACGGGCGCACGCACACGCGCAGGCATACGCACACGCGCACGCGCACGCGCACACAGGCCCCAGTCATCCAGGCGCAATGGGTGGGTAAGCGTGAGGCAAGGCTCACGCTTCGTACCTGACACACTTCGGCGCTCCATATTGGCCGGGGCTAGAGTGCGATGAGAATGGGGGGGAAGGTGAGGAGGTGGTGGAGGAGGAGGTGATGAAGGTGGAGGAGGTGGAGGAGGTGGAGGAGGTGGAGGAGGAGGAGGAGGTGGGTCAGAGAGACGCAGTCGTCGGCCGCAGTCGAACTCCGCGACAATATTCGCGCGACGCGCGAAAATACGGCCTCGGGCCCCGGATTAACGCGCGGATTGGCCTCGGCTCTCGACGAGCCGCTGCTGGTCTCCTCGCACCACCCGTGCTTTAAGCGCCGGCCGCTCTCGCGAGATTAGCTAGAGACGAGAAGCGCGCGCGGAGCCCACGACGAGCTTCCGTTCGTCCGCCTTCTCCTACCGCCGTGCGTCTTTCCGCCCGCGTGCCGCCGCCAATTAGCCGCACAATTAGCCGCCACGCACAGAGAGGTGCCAGGAAGAGGCGGAGGACGGATGCTGAGCCGAGAAGGAGGAAGAAGCGGTGGTCCGGCACGCGCCTGGGTGCTTTTCCTTGGCGAAGCTCGGGCGGTACGCGTTCGCGATCTGAGCCGGGCTAAGCGCCGCGCGCTCCCTAATACTTAATCCAGGGTGGGGCGCGCGGGGGACGGGGCGGGGGCAGCGACGGTGGTGGCGGTGGTGGCGGTGGTGGCGGTGGTGGCGGTGGTCGCGGTGGTGGCGGTGTTGGCGGTGGTGGCAGAGGTGCCGGCCTTTTTTCCCCTGTAATTGACGGAGTTGCAATTACGGCTCGAACTGAAATGTCACTGCTCCTTTGTAATTTCGTTGCGCAGCGTGTGAAGGGGGGCGGGGCGGGTGCGGCGGGAGGGGGCCACTGCCTGTTTTGCTTATTACTTAACGAGCCCGTGCTACGTAGGAAATTTTCGCTGCGCCAAATGTCGACGCGAGTTCGGCCGCGGCACGAGAGCACCGCGCAACAAATAGCTCGCTTATTATATTTATGAAAGCGTACGGCATCTTAGTCATTACGTATTTTTACACTAAACGCCATCATGATTCGATATATTCGCTGCTTCTTCGTATGTAACTATTGTTTGGTAATTGTTCGACTAGGCTTATTAGGCGCGCCGTGACTGCTTAATTTTGTTAAGGACGTACGACCAGCCACGTTGCGCAATATTTTTACTGAGATATTAACGAGAATCGGTTATGGACGACTGATGCATGCACTTCCCTTATTTAATTGTTACCGTTGCGACTTATTCCCCGTCTTCCAAAATATAAATATTCTCTATAGCGTTGTAATTTACTATGTAATCATTCTACTGCGCACCCCCCCCCCACCCACCCCCTCATCGCAAACGCATATTACAATTGTCTATTTAACTAAAAAATTTCATACAAAATTACGGCATACCAATAACTGTTATTGTATAGTCAGTTTTGTTATTATCGATCCAGGCGTACCAGCAGCCAAACTACCCTCTCAATATATATTTCCAATAAATCATTATAATTTAATTCCAATTAAGACTAGGAAGTACTATTGTACTACAAAGGATACTATTGAAGAACTATTCAGGCATTTATTTTCTTACATACAGTTATTTTAAAAAATCACTACCAATTACGTAAAGAAAAAATATTCCGGTCAGTACACTATTAATTTTGTAATACTGAGAAAAGTGACAATTATAATTGTAAATTTTTTTTTTGTTTAAATACCGCATATGATTATTGTTTTTTTTTTTTTTTTTATCTTAAAAAATAATATTTAATTGAAAATACAAGGTTTTTCAGAAATTAAAATAATTAAATCATGTCAGAATATATTTATTTATTCTTACTTTATCAGGAGTCGCGTATTAGTAAGTTAATTAGCTAATAAATTAATCTATTATATTAATATTTTTACTACAATTTTTAATTCGCGTAATATAATTATAAATGAAATTAAATAAAATACTTCTTAAAAAATATCAAGAAGATAATTTTTCTGCTTACCTCATACATGCAATAGAGCTAGATAATTAGAAATTCATAAAAATCTAAAATCAATTTAAATGAATTATATAAAAATTTATATCAATTTGAATACATTTTCTTTAAATTGATAATATCAATGTATCTATATTTACCAAATATCTTTAAATATGCAATAATTTCGTAAATTAATATATTTAGTGGCAGCAATTGTTCTTATGCACTATAATTGAAATTACTTTTTGGAATAAATTTGTTTTAAATTTCTGGCAATAAAAATTTATTTAAATTACCTATCAGCTTAATAAATAGAATATATAATAAAAAATAATCTTGAATTAATATAACTTCAAAATTGCTAATTACGCAATTTCTATTTATCTTATAATAATAATTATAATAATAACAACAATAATAATAATAATATATTTATAAATAATGAATCAAATATAATTTGTAAAAATTATGAAATGATAGCTGTCATCTCATTCTAAACTTTTGGCAATGAAAATAAAAATATTTGATTTTAAAGTATTCTGTACTTTTCAAATTTATATATATATATATATATATATATATATATATATATATATATATATATATATTATTTATATCGAATATGACATTTAAAAATTTTAATATCTGAGCAAAAATTAGTTAGAATAGTTTATTTTTTGTTGTTGGAATATTCAATAAATAAAATAGATATTTATTAATTCTAATTTAACGGTTTTTTTTTTTTTGTATTCATCCAGTAAAAAATTAAATTTCATTCCACCTTTTATGGAAATTGTACTCAAAGATATTCATATTAAATTCGATTGAGTTTTATAGTGTTAATAAAAGATAATTATTCAAAAAACAAAAAAAGGTCAATAAATATAATTACATAATTTTGTAATTAACGAATGCAATTTAAATTTAAGACTTTTAATAAATATCTAATTATTTGATTATATTCGTAGAAAATAGTAATAACTATGCAAATATAATATTTCCAAAAAATTTATAAATATTTATTATCCAAGAATTATAATTACTGTACTGTAAATAAAAATTGATTCATTATCTTATATATACATATATATAAGTATATTGAATAGTAAAATTATGTTTAATAGATTAATAAATACATATTAAAGTATAAAATGCAGTATTATAGTTGTGTCTGAAGCATTATAGTTGTAAATAAATACTTCGGCACTAATATTATTCTTTTATTTTGAATTTATTAGAGTGAAAAAAGGAGCAGCATCGAAAAATTAATCGGTTTTATCGCTAATATTTTACATATCATGTATATTTTTATAGAATGTATTTGTATCTATCAAATGCAAGGACAATCATAATCAACAATATCGATATTGATAATTACAATTTCTAGTCATCGCATTGATTTTAACGTTTTAAGTCCTACACTTAAGAATTTTTTCCAACAACTGCGTAATACAGTCGATAGTACGTTAATGCGTAAAAATTATACAACTGCACTCGACGATATTGTAAAAAAATTGATGAAGAGAATAAAAACAAACAGATAAGATTATTTAATAACCTTCTATTATAATAATAGAGTAATAATATTCTATTTTATTATAATAATCTATTATTAAAACTATCAATTATTGCGCTAATTTTCTCATATATTTTATGAACACTAAGCTTATAAATATCAATTTTTTAAATCACCAAAGAACCAGATATATTCCAATTTTTTTTCAATTTATTGTCACAAATTATTTGACAAATATTGAATGACGTAATATCAATTATATTAATGTTAAAGTAAGCAATGGATGCGAAAATCTTTTTTCCACAATTTTCATAAAATGCATATACTTTTGTCAAATTATTATTTCTTTTTTTTTTTTTAGATATTTTATACCTTCCCTTATTTTTATTATTATTTTTTTATTTGTTTGTAGTTCATTAAAGGGACTTTGAAGATTTATGCTATAGTATAAGTATATGAGAAAACATTACGTAAACATAAATATATCATAACTCTTATTGTTCGTATGAAAAATAAATTAAAAAAAAAAAATAAATATTCGTATGAAAAATCTGTTCCTTATTTTATTATTTATTTATTTATTTATTTATTTTTTTCATTATTATAGTTTATAGATTAAGACTCATTATTTTTCATTATTTTTAATTGATAATAAGTTGCCTTGAATTCATTTCATTTCTTAAGTTAATTAGTTATACAAAATAATTTTTTTTCTATCAATAATTTTATTTTTTATTTTTCTTCAATTATACCATAAAAGTATTAATTTTTAATGTAACATTAAATTAGTTATTAAACCAAATTAAAAATAGAAATTGACTACTTGTATGTGAAAAAAAAAAAAAAAAAAAAAAAAAAAAAAAAAAAATAGTAATCTATGCCGAAAAAAAATGCGTTATATGTCTAATGAATTCCAAACTATTTAGCTTCTCAATTTATTGTAAAATACACAAAGCAGCACAAGGTGCTTGCAAATTTATTTGTTTATTTATTTACTTATTTATGATTGAATGGAACTAACATAAAATTATCGAGGAAATCCATTATCTTAGTATCTGAGAATAACGTAAAATTCAATAAGCTTTTGCAAAAATATCAATTATCTATTAATAATTTTCCTAATATTCGGCCAACTATTAGTTCAAGTATTGGACTACGAGTATAAATACGTATAAATACGCAGAGATCGAGCGAGAAAAGATCGCACAATTTAACTCTCGTTTAATAGCTGCTTCGAATTGAATGGAGATATGCACGAGCGCATACACAGAGATTCCTGTTTGTATAAACATCTGTGGGTGTGTATTTACTTATGTAAAAGTATTGGGTTTTGAAGCGAGAATGGGAGACGCAAAGGAGACGCGCATCCGCTTTCGACATATCTGCTTGGTTAGGGTGATGAGCATTGTTCAAATCTTTATTT